GGCGGGGGCCGCGGCCGGAGCGGCTCGGTGGCTGCGTGCGGCCCGGGAAGGGGGCGGGGGCGCTGTGCAGGCCCGAGCGCGGCAATGATTGGTCTCGGGGGAGGGGTGGGGGGTTGCGAGCCCGAGGAGCGGTGGCATCCGTTGCATGATGCAAAAAGGATTGATTTCAAAAGTTGCGAGTCGCATTGGCAGCAGCCCTTGGCGCCCGGGCCACCTACTTCTCCCAGACCCGCAGGAAGGGCCGGGAATGTTTTGCGCCACCTGGCCGGGCTCGGCCGCGCGCGCTCTGCGGGACGCTGGAACCTGCTCCCAGAGCGCTGCGGTCGGATGGAACTGGGAGACAATGGCCGTGGAAACACGTCGCAAAGGGGTGTGGGAGCGAGGAAAAGCCGCCTCCACTCCGAGGAAAGATTTGAAAAGACTGCGCCTTTTCCTCCTAGCGACTCCCATCATCTCGCCCTCCTATTGTCTAGCTCGGGCCCCAGTTCGCTGGAGCCACAGTGAAATATGCAAATGCCCGGCAAAGTTTCTTGAACGTTTAATATGCATGGTAGGGGATGCTGAAAAAAAGCTTAGGGTTCCCCAGTTATACGTTGTTTTCACATGTCCTGGTAAACATCGCCTAGGACTGTGTATATGTGTGTGAATTGACGGTGAGAGAATTTGCCTCCAGGGAAACAACTTTGCTCAGGTTTTCGACTTTCTAATACTTGGCGGATGGAAATAAGAAAGATGCTTTAATAAAACATCTTTTAGGGCTTCCCTGGAAAGTGGCAATGTGGAAGAGTGCCGGCCAAATTTGCCTGGGGAGGGGGGCTCGACATTTTCCAAAGGTAGTTTTGGCCAGCAATGTGTTGGGTGAACGAACCGTTCGTGTGTCGGGTCAGGTGTGCACGCTACGGAGATGCCTTTTTCATTCTTAATATTTCTGCTTGATGACTCCCCAGACTTTAGGCGTGGATGTCGAGCTGATGCCACCCTGGAAACGAGTGGATGCAGGGTCCTCCTCCGTGTGGCTTCTCTATACAATAAGTTTGGAAAGAACATAGTAGGCAGAATTCTTTAATGTGTTAAATTAGGCCTTTGTGCCAATGGCATGACCTTGTGGTTCACAAACCTGGATTTACCTCTGAATCACTTGGGAAGACACACAGTACATAAAACCCCCAGGCAATACAAGAATCAAGGAAGGAGGATACAGATACCTATAGCCCCCACCCTCTCCCCCCTTTAAAATTGATTTTGTATTTTGGGCCATGCCAGGTTTTTGTTTATTTTTTTCCCACCCAAAACGTTTCACAGCCGGAAAGAGAGTTGGCTTGCGAGGCATAGGAACAGAGGTGAGCAGGGTCCTATCCAAAGATCTGTGTGTCACACGGGAGTTTGGAGTCCATGCTGTACTCGGCAGAGTTAGATTTGATTTTCACAAGTTGAGCTGTGATAGGGCGGGCAGGTGGTGTGGTTAGGGCAGCTGGACTCCCACATGGCTGACTGTGGTTTGAGTCCCTGATCTGGCAGCTTGCTTTCTCATTTTCCTTTTCTCTCTCTGTCTCTCTCTGGTCGACTTCAATAAAATAAAAATAATGACACTGAATAAAATTACATTAAATAATTCTTTATAAAAAAAAGGTCAGCCGTGGTGACAACGTTGAAGGATATTGCCTCCTAGAGCAGAGAGCAGGCCACGTTTCTAGTTAAGAGGTTATTTTTTTGGAACAACTACTTAATTTTATTTATTTATTTTAATTTGACTGGAGAGGGATAGAGTGCATGTGAGAGAGAGAGAAAGAGAGAGAGAGGGAAAGTGAGAAACCAAGGCACCAGGTCCAGGACTTGAACCACTGTCCATGTGGGAGTCAAGCGCCCTTAACAAGCCACCTGCTGGCCCTTTAAGAGGTTATTGAAGTAATCAGTCCTAGCAATGTTCTTGAACTAAGAAGAGGGAGACTATAACCCAGGGAAAAGGTTCGATATGATTGGGTGTATGTGAAGGAGAGGAAGAAGCATGACGTGCCCCAGATTGCCAGTTTAGGGGCACTGGATGGGAATGACGCTGCTAACGTACAAAAACTACTGGCAAACCAGTAGGCATTGGCCGCTGCCTTAGGCTCCCAGGCCACCAACTAGGGGTGAATTCAGCTTTGGAAATGTTAAATTCCAGACCTGCTGGATATTCCAGGTAGGTAGGGGTTTGAGATGCAAATCTGGGTCCCATCAGCATGTAAATGGTGTATGAAACCAGGAACGAGGTTAACTCCAAGGGCCATGGCCACCTACACAGTTCAAACCCAGAGGAGGCAGCTTGAAACACACACCAGGAGGAGTGATTGCTGCATAGCCATACCCCGTGGAGGGTGATTTCCCACTTTCTCCCTGACTCTCTTTGGCAAGCACAGGCACCCTATAGCAACCAAAAAAAAAAAAGACCAGCTCCACTGGAAAGTTTACATCTAAGAAGCGGTATTGGCTTGAATTATGTCCCCCAAAAAGATAAGTCAAAGTCCTAATCCCCGGGCCTGCGAACGTGGCCTTATTTGGAAAATAAGGTCTTTGCAGATGTAATCAAGCAGATGAAATCATACTGGACTAGGGTAGGCCCTAAATCCAATGTTCAGTGTCTTTTTAAGAAAAGATTGATTTGGGGACCAACAGGTGGTGTAGTGGTTAAGGGCGGTGGACTCCCATATGACCAACTGAGGTTCGAGTCCCAGACTTAGTGGCTTGCTTTCTCACGTTCCCTTTCTCTCTCACTCTGTCTCTCTCTGGTCAAATTAAAAATAAATTAAAACAATTATTTTTAAAAAGGGCGGGGGGACCTTTGAGGGCTGGGTGGTGGCTCAATGGTAAGGCAACACTGCCTGGCTGACCCACATGGGGAGGTTCTGGCTTCAGGCAGAGACAATCCTGAACACGCTGATTGCACACATGCCCATGACTCAAGGCTGCCTGACTTGGGATAGACTGCAGTGTGAGGGACCCTGCTAGGGATATCTCTGTCGGTCTCACTCATTCATGGAATAAACAACCTTTCCCATGGGGTGGGCACCACCACGCCCACAATAAATAAGTAACCTTAAAAAAAAGAAAAGAAAAAGGAGATTTTGAGGTGATGATGCAGGGGAGACACAAGAGGAAGACAGTGATGTGGAGAACAAAGAGGTTGGAGTGATGAGGTACAAGCCAAGGCACACAGGACTGCCACGAACACCAGCCAGGAGAGGCAAGGGAGGAGCCTCACAGGGAGCATAGCTCTGCAGACACCCGGGTCTCCTTGCCATAAGAATTCTGCTGCCTGTGGGAAAAAAGGCTGCCTGTGCTGCACCCCACATGCCACCAGCCCCAGTGCAGCTTCGGCGACGACTTTCCCGCCAGCCTGCTTTCTCACACTGTCCAGCATTGTCACCATCTGTTACCGGGACAGTTACCCTTACACTGAGTCAGACTCATTCCAAAGCGGCCTCTGATCTGTCTCATGGGAGGTGGGGGCGTCCCGTATCATGGCTCACCTGGTAGGCAATGGACACACAATCTAGTAACCTTTACCTTCATTCCACTTCATTCCACTTCGGCCATCGTTGCTCATGACTGTCCTGTGCACCTCCTCGCTCCTGGAAATCTTAAACACCAGCACCCTGTCTCCAATCCTGCAAATTTCTTTATACCGACTCCTGCATTTCACCCTGACAGGGAGCACCAGTCTCCCAATGTGGTCCCTTTTCCTTCCATCCAGCTCAGCTCCTGTTCCCCCTCCTGCCCCCTGGGATTGTGTCCACCCTCAGATGTCCAGACTTTTTCTTTTTTTTACTTTTTGTTATGAGGTGCATGAGAGACAGAGAGAAAGGAAATGTGAGAAATCACTCCCAGGGGAAATGACCACACCGCAATCCCTTCTCCATTCTCCTTTAGGGATTTTTTTTTTGGGGGGGGGGCGGAAGGGGGCACAGAAACACATGGATCCAGCATGTTTTTCTTTCCTCAGATTCTTTATTTAGTCATCATTATTTTTACATTTACTACAGGGCATGTGTGCTCGCTAGAGAGCGACACAGAGACAAAAAGAGAGAGAGAGAGACAGAGAGGGAAAGTGAGAAAGCAACCTCCCGGGTCTGGTACTTGAACTCTGGTTCGCCATGTGGGAGACCAGTGCCTTAACTACCATGCCACCTGCTGCCCCCACCCAGTGTGTTTTTCAAGCCTCCAGGTCCTAGACCCAAACCCAACAATTGCCCATGTAGGACCCAGTGCCTTAACCAGCACACCACTGGCTGGCCTCAGATGCCCAGACTTAGGCTCCTTCCACACGCTCCCTTCTCTTCCCTTTCACTGGACTGAAACAACTCAACT